CAACCCCCTCCTCTTCCGCCCACATCCGCCGGAGCCACCAACACCAGGAAAGGGGGCGTAGTGCGAGGGATGGGAGAGGGAACAGGGCAGGAGAGAGGATGGGATCGGGAGAAAGGCGATTCCTTTGGGGGAGGGGCGCGTGGAGACGGAGTATGAGTGTGTGTGAGTGTGCGTGTGTGCAAGGTGTGGTTGCACGGATGCTGGTTGCTTCTGCGTATCTGCGGGCGTGTGTCTGTTTGTATTGTAGCCTGGAGTCAGTGCTCGGTTCTGCACCTGCAGGATGTCCAGGTGTCTGCTGGGTGGGTCTGTACCTTTGGGCTTTGCCCTTCGTGTCCGTGCCTTCGCCACTGGGGGCTGGTCTATATTTGTGTCTCTGTACATGGTTCTTTTTGTTTCTGGAGAGTAAATTCCTGGAGCAATTGCTAGACCTACCTGCTGTCACCTGGCTGACACGGAGGCCCGCCCCCTTCTCTCAGCAGCCTGGGGCCCAGGCCCGGGCCACCATGGCGCTGCCTCCAGGCCCAGCCACCCTCCGGCACACACTGCTGCTCCTGCCAGCCCTTCTGAGCTCAGGTACACCCCTGTTCAGTCGTTGACCAAGTCCTTCTGGGGTCCAAAGCCCCCTCTCTCCTCTGTCTGCTCTTCTGTTTGGGTACCTACTTCAGGCCCGAACCCCTGGAGCCCCTGTTCCCTTCACCCACCTACCTAGGTCCAACCAGCCAGTCCCTGGTGAGAGGACTCAGGCGCCCTTTCCCTTGGCCTGCTGCTCCTCTCACTGGGGCAATTCCTGGTCACAGCACAGTACCAACCCTGCCTGAACCCTTCCCAGAGGCCCCCTGCTGTGTTCCAGGTTGGGGGGAGTTGGCGCCACAAATAGATGGTCAGACCTGGGCTGAGCGGGCGCTTCGGGAGAATGAACGCCACGCCTTCACCTGCCGGGTGGCAGGGGGGCCTGGCACCCCCAGATTGGCCTGGTATCTGGATGGACAGCTGCAGGAGGCCAGCACCTCAAGACTGCTGAGCGTGGGAGGGGAGGCCTTCTCTGGAGGCACCAGCACCTTCACTGTCACTGCCCACCGGGCCCAGCATGAGCTCAACTGCTCCCTGCAGGACCCCAGCAGTGGCGGATCAGCCAACGCCTCTGTCATCCTCAATGTGCAATGTGAGTGACCCTGAGGTGGGCAGGGAGAGAGGTTCTCTGCCCAGGGACCCCCCAGCACCCACCAGGCAGGTGGTCCACAGGGCATTTAGCAGACACTTAAGCACTTTGCAAATATGAACTCATTTTATCCTCTGAATAATCCCATGAGGTCATTACTATTTTTGTCACCATTTTACAAATAAGAAAACTGAGGCAGAAAGAGGTTAAGCAATCCGCCCAGGGTGATGATCCCGCTGGTAAGAAGCAGAGCCAGGATTCATATCTGGGCATTTGGCTCTAGTATTTACACTCATAATCACTACGAAATGCTGCCTGTCTGGCAGACCCAGCCATCCTGTTCCTCAGCATGCCCTCTGAGGAGAGGCCCAGGCCCCTGGCTCCCATCTGGGTTTGGGAAGAAAGGGCCAGAAGTATAAGGGGCTGTGGTGAGAGCATATTGGCCTCTGCTTTGCACCAGTCAAGCCAGAGATTGCCCAAGTCGGCGCCAAGTACCAGGAAGCTCAGGGCCCAGGCCTCCTGGTTGTCCTGTTTGCCCTTGTGCGTGCCAACCCGCCTGCCAATGTCACCTGGATCGACCAGGATGGGCCAGTGACTGTCAACACCTCTGACTTCCTGGTGCTGGATGCGCAGAACTACCCCTGGCTCACCAACCATACAGTACAGCTGCAGCTCCGCAGCCTGGCGCACAACCTCTCGGTGGTGGCCACCAATGATGTGGGTGTCACCAGTGCCTCACTTCCAGCCCCAGGTGAGCATGGCCAGCAACTGGCCCAGCAAAGCCTCAGGTGGGTGCAGGGGTCCACATCCCCATACAGAAATGGGAGTACTTTTTTCCCTGTGAGTTGGTCTTGTGGATGAACTGTTCCCAGCCACCGTGGGCAAGGAGGGCAGAGCAGTACCTATGGCGTGTTGGGGTTGGGGCACTGCCCACTTGGGACCTAACCAGAGGACATCCTCCAGGGCTTCTGGCTACCCGGGTGGAAGTACCACTGCTGGGCATTGTTGTGGCTGCTGGGCTTGCCCTGGGCACCCTCGTGGGGTTCAGCACCTTGGTGGCCTGCCTGGTCTGTAGGAAAGAGAAGAAAACCAAAGGTAGGCCAGGGACACTGGGGGCAGTGGGGATGAGGTCAGGCTGAGCAGCAGCCAGGACAGCAAGTGCAGCTGGGCAGAACCAGTCGTCTCTGACGGTGGCAGAGCACTTCCAGGGTGTGGCCATGGGTAGGGTGACATGCATCCCAGGTAGCAGGGTCAGGCACTGGGAACCCAATCTCTGCCCCCAGGGCCAAGCCTGGGCATTTGAGAGACCCCTTGCCTGAGGGTCCTGGCTCTGAAAGGGTAGGAGGAGAGCCCAGCGTGGGAGGGCATGTTGAGAATTAGGGACATGGTTTCATTCTCCGCAGGCCCCTCCCGGTGCCCATCTCTTATATCAAGGTAATTCTTCCTGGGGCTGGGTGGACAAGCCTAACCGAAATGCAGGATGGGGACAGGAGGGAGCCTGGGGTTTCTGGTAGAGGCAGCCATGAGTGCCTGTGCTGGGACGCATATCCATCCCGACCTTTATCCTCCCTGTAGTGACTCCAACAACCTAAAACTCAACAACGTGCGCCTGCCACGGGAGAACATGTCCCTTCCGTCCAACCTTCAGCTCAATGACCTCACTCCAGATTCCAGAGGTATATCTAGGGCCCTGCTCTTTGCCTCTGCTTAATCTCCAGAAGTGCTTCTGAGAAAAAGAGAGCTTGGTGCTTGGGAGGGGCGAGGCCCCATCAGGCACACTCCTGTTCCTGAACACTGCCCTCTTTGTCAACCAGCAGTGAAACCAGCAGACCGGCAGATGGCTCAGGACAACAGCCGGCCAGAGCTTCTGGACCCGGAGCCCGGCGGCCTCCTCACCAGCCGAGGTACTGGGGAAGGGGCCTGCCACCCTCCTCCTCTGCCCCCCAGCCCTGTGCTTATGCCGAAGGCCTCCAAGTGCCCAGGAGGCAGAGAGGGCTGTCCCAAATTCCAAGGAACAAGCGTTACTGAGTCCCTGCGGGCTTCTTTGATCCTGCAGGTTTCATCCGCCTCCCAATGCTGGGCTATATCTATCGAGTGTCCAGCGTGAGCAGTGATGAGATCTGGCTTTGAGCCGAGGGCGAGACAGGAGTATTCTCTTGGCCTCTGGGCACCCTCCCATTCCTCCAAGGC